GAGCATTGTGTTCTTTTTAACCAAATCTCTCTCAGAGGGGCGTGGGGAGGGGCTCCTTATTTTCATCTAAAGTAACAGACAGAGAATCAGCACTTTGGAAACAGGGCTGAAACAGAGGGGATTATGGGATGCTGCAATTATCTGTTTGGTGTTTGGAGCCAAACACTTCAGAGACATGATGTGTATATAACTGAGACCTATAATATATTGATGAAAAACAGTATAATTGGGGACCTTTAAAATGAATATTGTGTTTATTTAGTTCCATAAAGTATTTATCAGTGCAGGCAGCTGGTGAAAACATGATCCATGCCAAGTGTTTAATTATCTCTCGAACACACTCCTGCTACTGATCTTCCTCTCTGACCCTCTCTGTGTTGTCCCTGCAGTAATGTGATGAAGTTGGGCTTCAGCAAGCCCTGGCCCGAGGCGATGAGCATGATCACCGGCCAGCCAAAAATGAGTGCCCAGCCTCTCATGGAGTATTTCGAACCGCTCATTAAATGGCTGGACGAAGAGAACAACAAGAACCAAGATATTCGTGGGTGGCCCGAGTACGACTGGAAACCAAAAAGTAAGTCCAAGACGTCCATCCATCCACATGCTTTGACACTTCCACAGAAACGTGAATAAAAGCACAATCATGTAGGCAGCTGCTCTGGGTTAAAGATGTTTTCCAATCACCAAGCCAAATGATTTTTGAAATCCTTCCCAGAAATAAAAGGCATAATGTTTTCTCGCAGAGGCAATAGTTTTGTTTTTCTCCTTGTCTGTGGCTTGCAGTGAAATCAATATTCTGCTCCTCTTGTTTTACTGATGAGGTCGTGCTGAAAAGATGTTTGCAGATTAGATTGATGAGATTCTAACCAACAAGAGAGCGCAAGGAAAAGATAAATGGGAAAAAGAAAACAGCTGCAGATCAAAGGAGAGATATACTGAATTCAGATGAATAATTAATTGTTGAAGAAAGAATATAATAAAGATTGTCTCCTCACACTGTGTATAAAGGGGTGTAAATAAACATGACTTTTTTCATTGTTATGCACAGTACTTTGGAGACAGATGTTAGTTTTTAACCTCGTTAAACTTATTTTTTTATGTCAGTTTCAACAACAGTGTGATCGAAACAAAGCATCAAAATATGTTGAATAAACAAAAGATATGTAACGGCCTCAGGAGTCTACAGATTAAAGGTGGGGTAGTTAATTCACTTCAGAAACACTTTTTGTTATATTCCATGGAATGCTCTTAACATCCCGATAGCAATGAATATATGAAATGCTTTGACAATAAATACATAAATCTGTGGGAGCCGTGGTACCTGCCTGTCAGCCTTCCGTCTGTGCACAAACTTATCTCGTGCCCTCATTGGTCATGATGAGCGCCATCTATAGCCTCAGGGTCTGGGGGGGTCCGAAAACCAGTCAGTATCTGGTGTGACCACCATTTGTCTCACGCAGTGCAACACATCTCCTTCGCATAGAGTTGATCAGGTTGTTGATTGTGGCCTGTGGAATGTTGGTCCACTCCTCTTCAATGGCTGTGCCAAGTTGCTGGATATTGGCAGGAACTGGAACACGCTGTCGTATACGCCGATCCAGAGCATCCCAAACATGCTCAATGGGTGACATGTTAGGGTTAGGGTTAGGGTTTAACCCTAGGGTTTTCTGACCCCCCAAATAAAGCAAAACTGCACTTTCAGAGTGGCCTTTTATTGTGGCCAGCCTAAGGCACACCTGTGCAATAATCATGCTGTCTAATCAGCATCTTGATATGCCACACCTGTGAGGTGGGATGGATTATCTCGGCAAAGGAGAAGTGCTCACTATCAGAGATTTTTTCAGATTTGTGAACAATATTTGAGAGAAATGGTTATTTTGTGTATATAGAAAATGTTTTAGATCTTTGAGTTCATCTGGTGAAAAATGGGAGCAAAAACAAAAGTGTTGCATTTATATTTTTGTTCAGTGTAAGTAGCCAAATAACTTGCTAAATAGATTATTTCTGTCTTTGTTGTGTGTCCAGCAGGTGAGTTAAATTTTCCGTAATAAAGTGCTTTCTGGTCTGAGTGTGGACGGTGCTCTGCGTGGGCCCAGTTGGTCGGGGTGTCGTGGGTCGTTGGTTCGCCACCTCTATTGGGCTACAAGTTCAGGAAGTCAAAAAGGATCTGGAGTCCTCATCCACAATGGAGCTAAAGCAAAAGGGATAATCATCAGTGGTGGCTAACTGTTGCTGCACAGAGTACCACTCATGTGACATCAGTGTTCTGGACAGTCACTTGATGAAATTGCTTTCTTTTTGGTCGGCCTTTATCTAGTCTTTGTATATTTGTTGATACATTTGGAGTTGAAATAATTTTTTGCCTATGCAAAAGAAACATTACAATTTTTGTATTATTTGCAATATTTGAATGGTCGCGGAAACGGTTAGAGGAAAATGATTTAAATGAATGTGTGTACGTTCATTGATTGCTTTGTGGAATTATTGATTGTTTTTTTCTCTCTTGCCTGAGTCCTTTGCATTTTTCTACTATAAATACTTAAATATTGTTCATACTGTGTACGTACGTCTTGTTCAAGATAAAACGTTTATGCACAGAGTAGGGTTGATAAAACATATTTTATACATAGAAAATAGCTGAGTCAAAGAGTTAGTGCATTCAAATTACTACATTTTCGACTTACTATCCAGGGGTCAGGGCAACCTTTCTGATATGAAATCGAGAATTATCAACGGGGGGGTTGAGGAGCTTGACGCTCGGTGAATATCAGCCGGGGGCGGGGACGGGGGCCTCGCCTGCGGGAAGCAGTGTGTGGACCTGTCAACGAAACTTACCATTTACCATTTAAATAATTGGTTTAAACGGGATAATAATAAGGACATCGTCGTTCTGGGAGTTCTCCAGAACACAACATGTTATGATATTAGCGGTCATGCGAGTGAGATGAGATCGCTGTCCCTTTAAGAGAGAGACAGAGGTGTGGATTGTGCATGTGTGTGTGTGGATGGCAGAGCGACAGTGAGGGGGGAACGTGTGTATGTTTCTGGAAGTGAAACGAGGCACTGTGATGTATTTTGTGAAAAAGAAGAACAGCTAAATAAATGCAACGGCCTCCCAAGAAGAGCTCGCCTCTCTCCAGTCATTTAAGCTAAAGTGGGTTATTGCTGCTGCCCTCCTCGACTACGGTCTGGGAGCCGACAGGAAAGTTCAACACACAGATGGCCAGTCCGCCCCTTTGTAGCATATTATTTCGATGAGCAGATCGCCACTGGGCTTTCAACTAAAGACACAGCCGCGCAAAAATTGCGGCATTTGTACAGCGCCTACGTCAATTAGTGAAGTGCTTTCCTCCGTGGTGAAACGATCAGCACTGCACCACGGTGGAAAGCGGCAGAAAGTCAGCGGGGCTGCGTTGCGTGCATGGCTTCCTTCTGCAGGTAGACGCGCTCTGGCCGCGGTCTCGTTCAGGATCCGAAAATACAATTTAAATATTTTGCACACTTATTCCACTTATTCCTAGTGTGCCACTGGTTACGGTGCCGCGTGCCAATGCTGGCACGCGTGCCAGGGATTGCCGACCCCTGTACTATACTATGACTTGTTTCTACATAATATATTTTTGACGTTTCGATGTTGTCATTGAAGTCATTGATTTTGTTTCTTTATCTTTTGGGGAATTTTCTGCACTTTTACAATAGAGACATTTGGCATTGTTTGTTGGTGTTGTTCTTTGTTTAAACAAGATCTAATGGAAAACACAATGATAGCAATCCAACTGCAAAGGTTGTTAAAAACAATTTAATTACATTGAAACTGCACAGTAAAAAAACAACACCACGACAGAGAGCAGAGTTCGTGCATCGGTTTCAGCTGTCTGTCTTTACTCTCAGAGTGAATGCAGCCTCTGTAACGGCCGCAGACTGTGACTCTCAGGTAACGCAACACTCGGTCCCACCAGAGACTGTTCACTATGTTTTCTGGATCCCGTCCGTTTTCAGTGCTGCAGGTTGACCTCAATGGGGGCCACAGTGGCTTGGAAACAATCCAAGTGTCAACTTACTGTCTCATACAAAAATACAAAGCGTAGGGACATTAAACAACAAAGGCCAATGACATGAGCATTCATTCAAATAGTCAATTCACTGTCACCTGTCACTATGTACAATTTAAAATGTAGCTTTCCACACTTACAGTCTACAGACATATTATTGAATCCAGTGTCATGACTCCCTGTTTGTGATATTTTTTAAAGATAGGTTCTTTACTGTAATAACACAAGACAGTGTAATAAATAATAATCAAGTGTGCTCCAATCATCTCAACACATGTTGGCTAACTCTACATACAGACATGAAGCTATTGCTTTTCCACTTGTTGCAGGAGTGCTTGTATGAATCTTGACGTGGAATTTAATTAAAAACACGGGCTGTAAAATGTATAATTCACAAAGGAGTACCAATTGTTTCTCCGTACCTCTCAGTATTTATCAGGGAAATACTATTTCTACGTGGCATAAGGACACTTATTGGAGATCATTTCCACATGACTGTAAATACACTGACGAGGACATTCACATAAAGACACTCGTAGCAGAAGGGTCAATATATTCTAAGTGCAGTTCTCCTTTAATGACTGATGTAGGTTTAAAACCCTCACATAGCCTACAACTGCTGACCACAAAGTGATGCCTGTGGACAGAGCAGGAAAAATATCCACAATCACAGAGAACATCAATAGACTCTCTGATGGTGATGTTGGAAATAAACATGATGAATGATAAGCCACTTTGCTTGGATGACTCAGAAAGAAGAACAATGGAAACATACATGCAAACACTGTAATCAATTTACAATTTACTCTTGAATGCAACACCGATTCCAGCGCTGCATTAATAAAAAATACTTAACAAATGACAATCTCTGAAACAAACTGTCTAGTATATTGCACTGAGAAAGTTGATGAAATCTACCAAAAGTAAAAAAATAAAAATGGAATGCACCATCCACGATTGGTCCATGAATGTGGCTTGAACGGGCTAAATGTTCTTTGATTGGCCCGTATCAAACCTGTATAACTGTGAGAGTTTCAGGGCCCAAAGTAAAGGCCTCAGTAGTAGTAATGCTGCATCTCTGTCCAGTTGGTGATCCAATACTTTTTCTGCGGCTCCTCAAACTGAAATCCCAGATTGAACTGATACCGTTCTGCCTTGCGAATTCTCACCGCTTGGTGCTTTGGCATTATCCGGTAGTAGATGGCTCGCTTGAAGAATCCAAGCTGAAGGGAAAAAGAGAGAAGAAAAGAGGGAAGGTGACATTTAAAAGCATATAGAAAGCAGAAGAGCTTGGAAAATGTTAGGTGGAGAAGGATTCATCGGAGGAAAAGCAAGTTAAGCAACAGATAACCCCACGCTTAGACAGAACGGGAAGACAGATGAAGCATGGAAGACAAAAGTGTTTTAAAGTGAACGGCAGCGCATTAATAGCCTGAAAGGGAAGTAGAACCGATGTTAGGTACATACAAAAAGCAGACAAAAGGTTAAAGAGAAAGTTAAGTGGTAAGAGAGTTGAATCACAACCCAAGCTTAATTAATAGTATCCAGAGAAAATCCATTTGTAGGGTTGTCGTTACCCAAAAGCCCCACTGGTGTGTGTGCTGTTGGGGGACCCATGGGGGGCCTCAGTAGTCCTCGGTCAGCTTCTCTGTCTCAGAGGGCTGGATCTTCATCTCAGCCTTCTGGGCTTTGGCCTCATACATCTCCCTCCTGCTGGCCCTCTGGAAGAAGCCACACTGAGGGTGGAGGAGGAAGCGGAGGAGGAAGAAGATGGTGCATGGGGGGGGTAAATGAAAGGTTAGACTAAAGGCACGATATGGAGGCTTTAAATCAGATGAATGGGTCAACAGCTATCAAAAAGGGAAAAAATGTGTTGAGATTTAGGGCATGTACATCATGTTAAACAGTGAAATCCCTTCAGTACTGATCGGTAGTCTCACCTTCCATAGTATAAGGATGATTATTCCCAGTAGTAGAATTCCTGCTACAGCCGCAGAGATGATGATCCACAGCGGGAGCTCATAGGGCACCTCCACCCCCTCCAGAGGCTGGATTTCTACTGTGAACTACAAGAAAGAATCAGAATCAGAATCCCTTTATTAGTCCTACAGAGGGGACATTTGCAGCGTTACAGCAGGAAAGAGCCACAGACAGCTTAGTGTTGCATATCTTAAATGTGTTAAAAAAAAAAGTTTAAAAAAAAAAAAAGTTACAATATAATAAACAAACAACAATATGCTAAAAAAGTACTAAGTTATAATATAATAAACGATATGCTAAAAAAAGATAAAGGTGGAACGATTTAAGTAAAATCATCATCATCAGCATCATCTTCATTAACGTTACGCACCATGGTGGGCTCTATGTCCATCCTGATGGTTGGTTTATCTGTAATGAGCTTCAGAGTGGCTTGACCTCCGACTGTAATTTTCAGAGCGTGAGAAAAGTCCTGTGTGAGAAACACAACAAACACTCAGTGTGTAAATATAACGAAAAAGGAAGTCTTTCACAATTTTATTAAATTATTAATAATGTGTGTACTAGCTGCAGTGCTAACCTCTAGCATCGTGCTGTTCCACAACCGGGACTGGACATAAATCTTGGCTGAGTTGGTCATGTTGCGCAGCGGACAGGAAAACGTTACGCAGCGTGCCGTCCCCTTCGAGCATTCCTGCAACAAACAATGACATCTTTTATGTAACTACATACTATACCAAAACTAACATTACTTATAAGAATAATGGATGACATACAGTACTATGACGTTTTTAACATACTACATAATGACTTTTTTTCATTAACATATTATAATATGATTTTTTTTAATCACTTAATTCATCAAAAGTCTATACTGTCTTTTCTGCAACTTTTATTTTTAAAATGACATTTTTACCATTATTTTTTTTTTCAACATTTCACAATCACTTTTTTAGGATTTTTTTTACATACTATACTATAAACAAAAACACACTATATTGTTATAACACTATGACATGTTTTATGGCAAACCAATACAACTACATATACAGCAACAGTATACTGTATGTACACGATCTTAATAAGGATTTAAAAAATGTGTCTATGGAGCCCTTTATCATGTTGAATGGCAAATATACTCCATATAAGAGGGACCCATTTCTTACCAACAGGAAGGTCTCTTTGCGAGGAGAGAGTATTGTGATGGCTGCCTGAGGCTCAGTAATATATGGCCTTGCCGCATTAACATCATCCACCACGATCTCTCGTTTAATACGCTTTTGTCTGCTTCCTGCCAACTGGAGGACGACAGAGGGAGAAGGAAACATTAAAGAAGGAAGCAGATGAGACAGAGACATGACATCAGAGTACTTGTGGTGGTAATTACTGGTTTTGATAAAGACATTACCAAAGTCTTCTCAGAATAGCACTGTCATTTCTACTGCCTATATCCAGGCAGAACGCGTTATGACGTTCTATTTGTAGCTCTGTGAGGGCTGTAGCCTAAGTGCCACAGACGTTGTTTTCTTTTTAAACAAAATGTATTTCTGAACATCCGTGGTTTGGTTTTGATTCCATTTTCACACCCCTATTTTAACACTGACATTTATTCATAGAGGGCAAGCTGCTTCACTTCACACTGAACTCAGGAGCATTTAGAGCTCATGTAACAAGCCTGTTCTTAGCACAATAGGAAGAAAGTTAAAGTACACTTAGACTCACTCAATATCAGCCATCTCATAACAATTCTAGCTATTACAATACACAAAGATATCTGAGCAGTAATATCAACAAAAGTATACTTGAGTAACTCTCAACAGCGTTAGCAGCATTTTTACCTTAGTGTTTTGTTCCATTTAGCTAATGAGTTTAGCATGCTAACTTGCTCAATTTTATTTTAGAAAGGACAATGCAGACATACTAAATATCAAAAGGCTATGCCAGTAATCTAAGCTGGCATTAGCATTTAGCTAAAAGTGCTGATAGCATGGATTTATACAGTCCTGTTTTTGGTTCTAGCACACTTGTTACTAAAGCTAATAATTTGCTATTTATATGTACTGTTGACGAAATACAAAAAAGATAAAATGAGAAAATCATGTCATGTATCGAAGATTTAATATGAACCAAGGTTGTTTTCATGTGGTTCAGTGCTAGTTGAATAACGGTTTACATTCAGCATCTGCAGAGTCCATATTTTTGGTCATAAACACGTCATATGGTTCTTGGGGAAAAGGAGAATATTGTGGCTTTTAACAATCAAAAAGACAGGATCCTTACAGTTAGATTTAGCAGGTTGACCACTTCTCCAACAGGGTTACATTCCTCCTCCGATTCCCCTTTTACCACAATCTTGGTCAGGTACAGGAGCCACTTGCCGTTGGCTACCTCAAAGGGCCATTCGAACTCCACAGCCAGGGTCCCCATGTCTCCCAGAGGCTGTCCATTCATGTTCACCTGGTGGCAGCAACAACAAAAAAAGGTAACTTCAGAAGAAATCCAACAAATGGCGTGAAATAACAGTCAGAGCTTTACAGTGACTTTGCAACCCCTAAATAGTATCCACCCCTGGTCATGCTTACACCCAAAACCACGGCTTACGTAAAACAATGGCCCACACAATATTACACTTCTGAAGGATGAACATTTTGGCTTCAAAGACAGGGTGGAGATGAGGGAAATGTGGGAAGCAGTCATGTTATAGATGCAATATAACGTCCTGGAGGTCTAACATGGTCTCAGTGGTGGAGGTGACTCACATTGAAGGTGAACTCCACCAGACTGCCAACGTCACTCGCGTTGGCCATGGCTGACTCGCCCATCACCGTCCCACTGAATTGTGTTTGCACCATTGGGTTTGCTCTGGACGATGGAGAGGTACAAATAATTAAACACAAGAAAAAAATGATGTGGAAAAAAATGTAATGGGACAATTACTACTTCAGGGTGCATGGAATTTCTGTGCTCTTTACTGTATGTCATGTTAAGTAATGGGACTCACGTGGAAAAGGAGGGGCGGATGGTGTGTTCGATCAGCAGGGCCACAGGCAAAGGGGTCAGGTCATTCTGCTCACTAAGACTATAAAAACAAACCTTATTACAACATTGTGTACAAGTGCAATATTTGTAGAGTCCCTATGTTAAAGCCTCTAGCGCCAAAAGCGCAAAACTTTGAATTTGGCACTAAATAAAAAAGATAACACTAAAATATGGATTCAGCAAATATAATCGTGCATCATTCTTGAAAACGTACGTGGACAGAAGCAGCTCGGACTTAATCTCTTGTGTGTACAAATTGAATCCAGAGGTCTCAAAGCTGATGGCAAGTGTCACCTGATAATGGAAGAAACACAGCGAGAGGCTTCAAACTCTGCTTAGCACGGGAAACAAATCAACACTGATAAGATCAAATCATTTTCAAAACATACATTTTCATTGCCTTTAAGTGGATTCCCCAGCTCACACATCAATGTCTCCTGCAAACTGCATTGCACATCGTAATCCTGAATAAACATATTGAGAAAGTGAACAAAAGAGTAGCATAAGATGGGGGAACATACACAAAGAAAGGCCTGTAACATTGTAGTGTACCACATGGCATGTTTAAATTAGGGTTGCCAGAAACTGACCATGATCAAAATCGATTATTCGGCAGCCCTGGCGAATAATAATCGATTATTCGACCGACCGAAAAGAAAAAAAACTCAGACAAAAGGAATTCCGTTGTTTGTGTCATTTAACTTCCTTTGGACTTGTAAGTTCGAAATAGTTCCATGAGGAGGAACTCTTTTTACCTGCCGCTTTATTCATCTTTAGTCGCACGTGTGAGGGAGAGGGGGGGTGGGGGCGGGGTCGGTGTGTAGCGTGCTGCAGCAGCAGTCTGCTCTGCACGCAGGCTTCCTCCAAGTTTACAGTAAAAAAAACTGGTGGTGTGA